GGGGCAGCAGCAGAAGACGTAGAGCAGAAGCCACCGGGGGACGCCAGTCCCGCAGCAAACGAAGCAGCAATAGTAGATTCCACTGCAGCAGCACTAGCTCCAGCAACAAGAGCAGCAGCAGCAGCAGCAGCAGCAGCTTTCTGTGTGTCTCAGGTGTTTATTTCCTATGAGTACCCTCGACTCTATAGAAAATACAGAGTAGTGTTTCCAGGCATCGGAGCTGCTCCTCCTTCGGTACGCTCCAACCCAAAACCCTAAACCCTAAACCCTAAACCCTAAGCCGCAGCTGCATTCTTTTTCTCTTGTATGCTGCTTGAATTCCTCGCTTTGCTCTGCTCTTCCCTTTTTCCATGACTCGAGTCTCAGCAGCTGCAGCTCCACATCTCAGCCCCTGCCGCTGCTGCTGCTGCTGCTGCTGCTGCAGCACCGGGCGCGCACTTCGCTTTCTGCAGAGGAAATAGCCCGCCGCGAGGCTGAGCTGCGGGACACTCTGCTGGCCACTCTGCAGCTCTGCAACAAAATAAGAGAACAACTTGAAGTTCTAAAAGCTTATAGCGGGAGGCCCCCGGCCCCCCCCCGCAGCCAAAAGGCCCCAAACTCGCAGCAAAATGAAGCACCTCGGGGGCCTTCAGGGGCCCCGGGGGGCCCCTGAGGGGGCCCCCGAAGGGCCCCCACCCCGTGCAGGTCCCTCCACAGCGCCGGAGGGGCCCCAAGGGGCCCCCTATGCCTTCAGAGGTCCCCGTAGGGCCCCTCACGTCCTCAGGGGCCTTCTTAGGGCCCCATGGGGGCCCTGTGATGGCCCACATGGGGCCCCTTGCTGTCTCAGGGGCTCCCTAGGGGGCCCTTGTTGTCCCAGAGGCCCCCAAGGCAGTTTGGGGCTCTCTGGGGCCCCCCGGGGGGCCCCCGGGAGCCTCCCTTGGGGGGCCCTCTGGGGCTTTTGGGGGCTTTGTGTTTGCCTGGGGAATTGCCCGGGGTAGTGGGACTTAGGGCAGCTTCTGCGTGCCCCACAGAGGCCACTAGGGGCCAAGGCCCCAGTACCCTACCTGGGGCTGCAGCAAGCTCCGTAGGGGGCCCCCAGGGGCCCCAGGGGCCCAAGGGGCCGCGTTGCAAATGAGTGTATTGCTGACACCGGGGGGCCCTAGGAATGCCGCAAACCCTCCGGTGTCCCCTCAGGGGCCCCTTTGGGGGAATTGGGAGTTTTTTACATCCTCGGGGGCTCCCCTGGGGCCCCTGAGCATTTAACAAATCTGTAGGGGCCCCAGCGGGGCCCCCTGGGGCCTCTTCTCATAGCCAGGGTCACCTCGGGGGGCCCCGGGTGACTGTGGCCCCCGAAACAGTGGCACTGGCTGCGCAGCGTCGAGAACCAAAGGTTTTAATTTATTTAATTATGTTTGTTTAGAAAGATTGAAAGGCAAAATGGCGCGAGGGCCCCTCAGGGGTGCCCTGGGGCCCCCCAAAGAGCTGCAGCTGCTGCTGCTGGGGCCAATCTGGGGGCTAGCCAAAGACAAGGAGATAAAGCAGCGGTGGATAAGGGCTTTTATCCCTTTATAAAGCATTTTTATGGAGAATAAAATATAAATGAATGATCTCGGGCCCAGATGAATGTGCAGAAGATCTATTTCCGGTGTATCGACAGCTCAGAGGTCCACAGACAGACCGCGCCCAGAGCCCGGGAGATGATGCAGAGGCAACTTTTCCTCGAAGTGCCTTTGCCAGTATAATTGATTTCTTTTTTAATTTATTAAACTCAAACAAATGCCATTTTTAGTCTTCTACTTCATTTCAATCCGGCCATGGAGACCAGGGAAGGACCCGCTGTAGGACCTGGCGGCAGACTCAGTGTTCAGACAGATCATGAAACAGCAGCAGCAGCAGCAGCAGCAGTGGCAGCAGCAGCAGCAGAGGCAGAAGCAGCAGCTGTAATCTGAGGCAGAGGCAGCAGGAGAGACGGCGGCACTGCGTGCAGCATGAAGACGCTGCAGCAGGCGCAGCAGCAGCAGCAGCAGCAGCTGCTGCTGCTGCTGCAGCAAAAACGCGCGCTAGAAACGCCCCACTGCGGGCGCTTGATGGCGGAGCAGCGGCTGTGGCAGCAGCTGGGAGTGCCTCTCCCCGAAAGGGGCCCTGAGGGTCTTAAATCAGGTAACAGCAAAAAGATCTTTTTTTAATTTCTTCAAAACTCATTTTATAAAAACAGATTCTTTCATTTTGTATTAATTTCACATTATCTGCAAACTCGCCTGCACGGGAGACAGCCAAACCCCCTCCTTAGGCTGCCCTTTGCTTCTCCTTTTCCGGCTCCGCCGCAGCAGCAGCAGCAGCAGCAGCAGCAAGAAGATACACGGCCCGAGGCGCCGGCAACAGCAAAATGATACAAAGAGACCTTTAAAAGTCTCTTTTTATTTTCTTTTGTGGCTTCTCCGGCTGCTGCTGAGTCTTCATAAATGCTGCTTCCTTTTGCTGCTCTGTGTCTCCAGGCCTCTACATGCTGCGGCGCCTGATCTCCTACGGCTTCTACCCTCCCTCAGCAGTAGCAGCAGCAGCAGCAGCGGCGGCGCCAGCTGCAGCAGCAGCAAACTACTGGGGGCTCGTGCTGCCCGTCCTCAAAGGCCTGGGACTCCTGCAGCAGGACTGTCGCGCTGCACTTCTCATGAAACCTTGTCGAACTACTTGGACCCAGGTCTTGGATGAGATAGAGTCCATTGTCAGAAGCAGCAGCAGCAGCAGCAGTGGCAGCAGCAGCAGCAGCAGCGGCAGCAGCAGCAGCA